AAATCTTTTTTTCTTTGTGTACATTTCGATTTCCTGAAACGAAACCTGTGCATGGCTCACTGGCTAAATCAGGAATCACTTGGGAGGACAATAAATACTGTATTTCACAGACTAAAGTACCAGTGGTATTTTACAAAACAACATTATACCATGGGGTACTATACATGGGGTGGTACTTTGATCAGATAGTGGTATTATACTAGGGGGGATACTATGATAGGACTATGTAAATTGTCTTTTATTGGTGCACTCTGTTGTACATACTTTAAAAAGGAATCTGCATGCTCATAATAAAAATTTTGCAACTTTGCTTGAAAACTGTTTGTAAAGCGCATATTACATCTAAGCAGCATCACTCATGGTGTGCTTGAGAAAAACTAATGGTTGTTTGTTACCATGAGCATGGCCATTCTGTAAAGAAGACTGCAGAGAAATTTAACATTCAAAGGAAGCAGGTGTGTGATTGGAAATCCAAGAGAGATTTGTTAATAGAAGCATTGCCACATCTTCTCACACTTCATACAGGGTGAAAAAGGCATGGAATGAAATTGATGGTGAACTTATTAGAAGCGCATTTAAATGTTGTGGGATTTCAGTCAGAGAGGATGGAATGGAGGATGATTTAATATTTGATAGTGAGAGATTGAATGATGTTAATATTGATGAAACTGATAAGGAGAACAATATATTGGTGGAAATTGAGGGAGATCATTATGAAGAAGTTGATGGCTTTAGAAATGCGTGGTGACATCAAGCAGATTTAATAAATTTAATACTATACCATGGTACTTTACAAGTCTCTCATGTAACAATCTGATCATAGCCCCATGGTACTTTGCATTCCATGGGCTTCAAAATGGTGGGGTGGTACAATTACAATGCTAGGGGTGGTACTTTAGTCTGTTAAATATGGTAGATCAACGATTGTTGATGGTTTACCTTGACAAATTTGGCTCAACCCCCGTTCCCCTTAGTGGATTGAAATAAAGATTGAATTTTACATGTTTTTTTTTTTCATAGAACACACTAATATTAATACTTATCTATTTCAATTTTCTTAATAAGTGACTGTATGCTAGCACTAGCCTAAAGAGTCTTTAGCAAAATAACTTCTGACATTATATTCCTGTCTAACTTTACTTTTTTTACAGTATTTACTTAGACAATCAGTACAATTATCAAATGTTACAACTATGATTTATTCAGTTCATGATCAGCATACATTGTTGAAAATTATCTATTTTGATATATCGTATGATTATTAAAAATTAACAACTTCAATAATATGTATGTGGATTACTAAGTATCATATCGTATGATTCATTACATTGTTGAAGATTTAACAATTTTAATATCATATCTGCGATATGACAAAATATTGATCATATGATGTTATATTGTATGATTCATTTACTGTACCACAAAGATTGATTGTATGATGTCAAAAAATTAACAATTTTGATAATTGTTTCTGTGATGTTATATTGTATGATTCATTACATTGTTAAAAATTTAACAATTTTGATTTACTGTACCTGCGATATTACAAACCATTGATCATATGATTAATGGTATTGTTGAAAAATTAACAATTTGATATATTGTATCTGCAAGATTATGAAGTATAATATCGTATGATTCATTACATTGTTTGAAATTAACAATTTTGATTTACTGTATCTGCGATATTACAAGTATTGATCATATGATTGATACATTGTTCAAAGATAGAACTCATTATATTATCTAAATACAAATCATGCAATTGTTTGCTGGCCATAAACATATAAATATGAAGTGTGAGAGAGAATAAACTCCAAGTTTTTAAATACAAATTGCATCTACTAAATTGCTGTCTTAAAACTACACTCAAGCAATGGAACAGGAGAAAACATGTACTCACTGCCTTCAATCTAAGCCCATTTCTTTTTTTTAAACTGTAAAAGGCTCTTTAAGAAAAACCTGTACTCAATGCCATGAGCAATCTTCACAAAGCATTGCAAGGAAGAGAGGAAGTA